ACAGCTGATTTTGGATGGGTAAAAATTTATTCTATGGTGTTGTAGTTTAACCCTAGCTGGCAGCTAAGCGCCACCCAACTGCTCACTCATACCCTCCTCGCTGGGGGACAGAATCAGAGGGCTGAAAGTGAGAAAACTCATGGGTTGAGATAAAGACATTTTAATAGGGAAAGCAAAAAACCATTTATGCAAGCAAAGCAAAACAAGGAATTAATACAGCATTTCCTGTGAGCGTGCAGGTGCCATCCCCAGGACAGGGGTTCCATCATGCCTAATGGTTAGTTGGGAAGACAAATACCATCACTCTAAATGTGCCTCACTTCTTCCTTTTCTCCCAGCTTTTATTGTTGAGTGTAGCATCATATGGAGTGGAATATCCCTTTGACCAGCCGAGGTCAGCTGTCCCAGCTGTGTCCCCATCTGGCCTCATGCCCATCCCAGCCTCCTCACTGGAAGTCAGAGTGAGACACACAGAAAGTGCTGACACTGAGCAAGTATTGTTCAGAAATAGTTAAAACATTGGTCTATTATAAACACTGATTTGGTAACAAATTGAAAAGACATCCCTGTGTGGGCTGCTAGGAAAAAGATTAACTCCATCCCAGTCAGACCCTGTATGAGGTCTTCCAACACTCACCTCCTTCTTCTGACCCTCTACTGAAAATGTGTTTTCCAAAACTGGGAATCTGTTACTGGAGAGGTATGACCAACACCAACTGCAGCAGAAGGTTTACCACCCCATCCTTGTACCTAACCTTCATAAACAGGCTTGTTTAAAATTTCTCATATCTGTGGCACTATGACTATAATGAAATAGACCCTATTATTTAGAACTCTATGAGGAATTGGCATGGAATAAATGAAATTTGCAGTTCTAAAGGGGAGGATTCAACTGTTTCAGCATCAATAAATATTGGTCAACAACTCAAAAGTTATTTAGATTTATGAGTTTGTTTGGACTTTTTTTGCAACAGTATTATGTTGTTAGTTCATATGCAGCTTATGAGTTTGGTCCTTTTCTGCAGCAGTGCTCTCTGGCCAATTGTACCTGTCCATCCAATTTCTCCTTTTTCTAGCTTGTTTTGAATTTCCTCATATTGAATTTGGACCATTTTTGAAAATTATTTTGAATTCTGACCATATCTTCCAAAACCCTTATAGTTCTTCTCAACTTGGTGTCATTTGCTATTTATATATGCTCTTGCTATTCCGTCATTAAATTTGTTACTGAAAAATTTGAACAGAATTGAATGCACAGTGGGGTATCCTTTTGAGGTTCTGCTCAAAAAAAAAAAATTCACTTTAGATTTCATTTTTTCCAATAGCTGTGGCAATCACCTGATAGGTATGTTATGTGAAACAGTGTCTAAAGTCTTACTAAATTCAAATTGTTTTATTGCTTATATTTTATTTGTTCACTAAATCAGTTACTCTTGTCAGAAGAAATCAGACTACTTTTATGTGCTATGTTCTTGACAAAAAAAAATGCTGGCTGTTGCTAGCTTCTTTTCCTCTAGTGCTCATAAACCAGTCAGTTTTAGGGCGATGGTAAGTGCAAATGCAAAATGGCAAATTGACTAGAAATTAAAATAAAAATGAAGCCAAATGGCTTTTTTATTTCCCAGAACATATGAAGTACAGGAAGATAAGCATAAAAGATGAAAATTTGATTTGATTTTCAGTGTTCTTTCATTTCAAAATTCAGGATGTGAACCTTAACACTGCAAAATGAAATTTCAGTCTCTGGTATGGCAATGAAACTTACTAATTTGGTTAAATCATATAAAAAAGTTTCCTCTGCATGGACCTCAGAGATTAAAAGCTCCATAGATCTGCATGCATCTAACAGTTTTCTTGCAAAATCCAGCCTCCAATGCCATAGCTCATGGGGAGAATGTGATAATTTCAAAGGTTGGAATAGGATCACTTTATTTTAGAAAGCACCTTCAGAAATCCTTGAAGTTTATCTATAAGCTTAAAACCCCACTAAATCCTACGGTTCTCATTTGGTTTCTGTTAACTTTGTTTTGTGATATCTGAATACAAAAACTCACTGCAGAATATGTTTATAGAAAAAGTTAAATGTTTTTATTGGTCTCTGCATTGCTATTTCTACTTCTGCTAAAAAGCATGTTTGTTTTTCTCCCTAGACTATTATCTTCGAAATTATTTTTCTACATTATCTGTTTTAATTATTCCAAATGACAAATCAGAGTCAGATCCAATGAAAACAGTGGTATCTTGTTGAAAATTATGATTTGTGCCTTATATCAACTTTCAGTTGAAACATTGCTCTCTGCATTGAATAGCATGTACTTTTACTCATTCAGAATAAAAGTAATTAAAGTGATCACGTCAGGTTTAAATCAAAATATGCTGTTCTATTGCTAGTTGAATAAGCAGCTTGGGTTGATCTTCTTAAGTAGACATGAGATACATATTGCAGGTACACAAACACTTTTTAAGATGGGCCTGGAAGATGGGGCTACAAAGACTGCAGGAGAGGAGGGGGAAAGAGCTGGCAAAAGAGAGGTGAATAAAAGCACCATGCTGCCAGCATGTGTGCACATAAAGCTCACTTTGCCTGCATAATTAGATGTAATTCTTCAGATAAGCATTCATTGTGTAGGCAAGGCCTAAATTAACAGGCTAAACTAAACAATCTGAGTTTGAAAAGATGCTCAGAGAGGGGGTGAACATGCAATTGCATATTTGTATCTTGCTGCCACTCTTCTACTTGTCCAAGTGCAAAGCTATACAAGGCAGTACAGACTATCTCCATGAGGTGTGATTTCATACTGTTTAACTGATCTATAGCTCCTGCATGCTGAGCTCCACTGGTTTGCTGAATAAACCAAACAGGATTTCCATAACTGTAGACAAAGTCCTTTACACTACAAAAACTTAATGCAAATGACAGTAATTAAATTGTTCAAATATGAAGTATTCATTTTAACCTTCCCCTTCAAATGTCCTGTCAAATCCTGCTTCTGGTTTGAAGTCTACAGGAACCCAGCAAAACAGTGTGTACATTGAAGACAGAATTATTAATGCTTCTTCATGAAACATCTCTGAAAACATTTTGAAACATGAGTCTTTCCATGCAGATGACTTTTATTATTACTGTCACTTTTGTTCTTCCTTTCTTTTTTATTGTAGAATGTTTTAAGTCACATGTATCTTGCTTTACTTTAAAAATAGTTTCTGTGAAAGGATCTTCTTCTATATTAAAACACAATGCCTGACAGTTTGCAGTCCTTTGGATGGGCCATTTGGTGTTATTGGAATATTAATAACACTAGCACTTTTTTCTGAGGTATAACTCTAATTATTAAATTTGCAGAAGGAAGACAGACTTGGTCTCATGATCATAGATGTTAAACTGTGAGAGAAGTAACGAGCAATTTCTAGGCTGTATCTATTCACAGAGGAGTCTGTTCTAGAACTAAATAACTGTGGAAACATATGCCTCTTTCATTTTTGTTTTCCAAGAATGTTTTTTGCAGGTATAGTTGACAAGGAATGCATCAACACATTTAAACAGAAGTCATACTGCTCTGTCAGCCTGAATCTGAGAGAGACAGCACTAGGTGTACGCTGTTTTTCTAATAGGAAGTGTCCTGATTTCTATAAATAGACATGTTTCAGTTCTGATTGTTCTGTACTGAAATAACTGGCTAGATGTTTAATTACTCTAAATAGAAAACACGAGTAGTGGCAGGCATTCAACCCCTCCTAACTGTTCTACTTCCTGGGCATTGGCTCAGAAACACACCAGATCTGAGGGCACATTTTCTTCTTCTTCTCTTTGGTACATTCATATTGATCACTCTGATATATCCTAAAGGCGAATACACAGTGCAGCATATCCTTTGGAGTCAGGAATCAAATTCAGCCCAGGTCAGGATGTGTCACAATAAACAAGGGAAGGAAATTAACTGCTTCTGAGTAATGGAGTTCCCTCCAGCTCCCTTTCAATTTGCACACAGCTAGGCATTGTGCTTTATATGTAATTATAATGATTTATTCAGAGGTGTTTACTAGTCAGAGGCATAACATCTTGCTTATCTGATAATTACATAGCTGGTGAGGTCATGGAGTAGGTTGTTAGCACTGTCAATCTTTTGCGCTAAAATGAAGTATTTGCTTGTACATTTCTTTAATGTTCCATTTGTTTGCCATCTGTGCCATTTTTATCTACCTGCAGGGGTTTTTTTGTCATTTCTCTTACAAAGAAGTATGTAGTGAATCTGTCTTGCCTAAAATTCATATACCTTAATTACTTTTATACCATAATATTGGTTCTCATAATGTGAAATTGAAGAACTATTTACAGTAATAAATGCAGTGTAACTAAAAATTGATCTCTTCTTCTTTGTCACACTGCTTATAAACATAAAAAAGTGATAGTTACTTTCATGGTCCTGGATCCATTCTGCACAATCAGTTCATTACTGTACTTAACGTAAATTGAGTGTTAAATCTCCTTAAGTGAATCTTCACCCTGCTTGACATTTGTAATTGTGATTGAGATAGGAAAAAATTACATTTTGGAGAAGGAAATAAATACAGGAAATACTTCTGTGGGCCATCAGTGGGACAAAGTTTAGGGGGTAATCTAATAAAATTAGGAAGGTATCACAGTTGGATAGCACAAGACGGAATAAAATGGATGTAATCTTCCCAATCTCGGGTAAGAGAACCAACCAGTCATTGAAATAGCTGTCCTGCAGGGAGCTTTGAGACCTGATGCTATGCCCTGCCTTGGATACTTGTACAGCTTCTCTGGCTGCCCTTTCTGTTTCAAAGTTCGTTTTTAATTGTCATCCTGCCAATGAAATTATTTATCCTTTATTGAACATATTCATGGTGTCCTCAACAGATGTAATAATTCTGTTGTGAGATGTTTGCTGTTCTTCAGGATTTAGCTCTAAGTATTTTTTATTCAAATAGGGATTGTGTACTTTCTTTCTCAGTGTGCTTCTTTTCTTCCTGGATAGGTGGCATAAACCCTTGGGATCTTTTGATCTGCTTATCTTCCAGAAAAAATGGTGGAACTGGCTGCATTCAAACAGAAGACTTGCATAATCTAGAGTTATTCCAGAAGGTATGAGATTATTGTGTTTTCCTTTGTGGGAATGGAAGGACAGGGCAAGCTTAAATCTTCAGCACTCACTCATAAATAGTATCTAATGCTTATTTTATACTGAAGCAGCATGGTTTAGCAATTTCTCATTTGGACACAGTATGTTAGTTTGGATGTAAGTATTTCAATGTAGGTGCAGAATATTGATACAAGTGAGTGTCAAGTTTCCCTTTTCTCTTCTTTAGCTTGAATTTTTGTGTTCTTGGTCATCCTCAACCAGCATGTGGCAGCAAAAGCATCTACGTAATTCAAGGGAAATTTAAGAAATTTGCCCTATTGGAAAAGAGAATTTAGAAATGGGGAGAAACAAGTAGAAAATGTATGCAATATTTCAAAATAATAGCATAGGCAGGAGATAAAGCTGGATGAATTTAGGCTTCACATCTTACATCACTATTGAGTTTCACCTATTGTAGTTGCTGCTTTATAAACATATTTTAGGCAGCTCTCCAAACAGTGGCAGTGCTTCTGCAATTGATAATTTGTGAGCTGGACCAGTAGAGCAGGGCCTTCAAGGAAGTTCTTTGCTCTGGCATCAGTCTCGGTGTTTTCAGGTTTGCTTTTTATTTTTTCCACTTGAACATGTTGTAGGCACAGTTTAGGTTACTTAGGTATGTAAATGTCTAAATAAGCACCTGACCTGTTGATAAAAATATATGTGACATAAACTGGGGTCATTGAAAAAATGTTACTAAGCTACAGTTTGACTTGTATTTCAAGTAAAATGGCACAGGTAATAATACCGAGACCCTAAAGTATAGACTCTGGCGTGAGGGTCTGGGAGAAATGGAGTTGCTTTTAAAAGGTGTTTACCTCAGGTATGAAGTTTGTGAGGATACAAAAAACCACTGATGTCCACAGATGTCAGAGCTAGGAGCATGTACACTGGGGTTCCCTGGGGCAGAATGCCTTATCTAACTGCATTCAAAGTGAAATTTTTATAGCAATTCCAGTTTGCTAGAAATATAAATGCTTTGGATTCAAGGCTCAGATCATAGAGCATCCCAGGCTTCTGCAAACTGCTTTTTGCTCATTCTGCCTATATTATCATATCTGAGCCTCTAATACTGTGCAATATAATAATCCTTACGGCATGCTACAACTTCCAGAAGTTCCACACATGAATAACTGAGACACAAGGTGATCAAAGGAATTGTCCAAGTTCACTCAGGAAGTCTGCACCAGAGTGGGGACTTAAACCATATGGCCCACACCTCCAGATAACTTTAAATATTGCACTAACATTACTTGCTGCTGGCATGCCCATACCACAGTGCAACACAGTTCTTTGTTGCAAAGCCTGGATGTGCTTTAGCTACATTAGCTTACCACTGATCCCAAACACAGCAATTCAAGAGTCATAGGTTGTTTCCATGCAGGGAGAGACAGTCTTTGATAACTGACAGAGTATAAAGAAGCTGCAGAAACTGAAAAGGGGACAGGGAATGGTGAAAACTCAGCAGCCAGGAGAGACATGGGTCTAAATTTTTGGTTTATGATGGCCATGGAGGAATAGCCCACACCTTAACTTAATGATCCCACATTGCAGGGATGGCAAAGTTGTAATTTGCTTTTGACACTGATGGGAGTTTTGTACATAAGGTGTCTCTGATAAATTAAACATAAACCCCTTGAAGGCTTCAGGAAAAAGAAAGCTTTTCTGAATTAAATCATTAAAGCTTCTCTTCTTACATGCAGGTAAATCTACTTCCAGAAATCCAGCATTTTCTTTGCAGAAAAGAGGGATTATGCCAGATAACAAAAGCCTTTTCAGGTAATCTAATTTCTTCAAATCTGCATGTGTGATGATAGTCTTTTAGTAGCTGTCACAGGAAGTTTCTGAAATGAGACTGTCAGGCTTTCAATTCTGTTTTATTTTTAGTCATGAATGCATAGAGAGAAAAAAGTGAAACAAGAATGATAATCCATTTCAGACACCACTTAAATATAGAAAACAGTTACGCAGTATCTTTTCAGGTAAAGATATGGCATTTAGCTTTTTAGCTATTGCATATTGCAGAAATAATTTGGCTATAAGTGTCTTATTTTCGGACTGTTTTGTGTTAATATTGGTGTTTACACTTCAAAGCCCTGGGTTCTCTGTGATATGTTTGTTCAGCTTTACAAAAATGTTGTGGCATGGAGAAGGAGTAAGAGTCAGAGTTTGGTTCCCATCCAGACATAATTTACTGATAAAAAGCCTTTGTGTATTAAGATCAGCAACCAGAAAAGTTTAAAGGTTATGGGCAAGTTGCCAGAGAATTCTAATTTACTATGGGTAAAATTCAGCTTTGAATAGAAACTGGAAAAAACTGTTGTGCACTGTATTAGGTCTATTTAAATTGACACGTTATAATCTCAGTTACACTACTGTATATCCAGCATCAATGCTATTTTGGATTTATGATCTATCTGCGCCACATAAACTTTGCTAATAAGAAATTTTGTCTTTTTTTATTTCTTTTGTAATCCAGTAACATCTAACCCCACCCTTATTCCGTTAGTATTTTCTCTCCTATTCTCTCTTTTTTGCTAAATTTAACATATAAGGAAAGGATTCATTGCATCTTATTTAACCGTTTAGAAGTTAAGTATATTCTGCAGTAGTATTCTAGTCTTCCACTTAAATCAGGGGAGAGACACACCTACAAATACTACTTCTTTTTATCCTGAAATATGTGTTTAAAATAGGTGTGTTGAATTACACTTTGCAGGTACTTACTACCCAATTACCTCTCACCACGGACTGTAAATGGAGCCTGGACAAGTGTCTTAGATTAAATACCTGACATTTGGATGCTTGACTAAAGTTGAAGTTAGGTGGTTCCTAACCCAAGTATACAATATTTTTTCTTTTAATTTTTGTACTGTTTAATTTAAAGATGGATCAATATTTAAAAGCTGTGAAGTTTTTCCCTTAAAGAACTATACTTTGAGGCTCAGTTTAAATTGCACATTTTGATTTTCTTGGTGCAGTACATTGTCAAAACTGATCATAAGGAACATGCAGTATAGTAAACATCTATCCAGGTCCCATAAGGGTCCTTTATCACGAAGTTATATTACACCAGGTAGGTGATTCTGTTTTGGCTGAGTTTTAAATGTGTCCTCAGTGATACCTAGTGCCTTGGTTCCCTTGCACTGGGAAGTGAATTAGAAAGTATTTTGATGTAGTACAAGTTTCAGAAGATTTCTAAAGGACTTCAGAAATGGGTAGGTCCTACTCATGTTGTAACAGATTGTCTTTAACAAGCATTGGTTTGCCCTGCTACTTGGAGAAAAGCCAGTTGCAGTGGTTTTATTATTTTGCTACCACAAAACCACAAACATAAGAGGCACTAACCACACACAGAGCTTTCCCCTTAAAATATGCACATTTTCATTGCTGTCCATAATCCGGTACAAGCTACTTTGTGTATGCCACTTCTGTTAAGGTACTCGGTGTTTTCTCCTGTATTGGGTTGGCAAGCTTTAGTGGGGAGGAGGCCACAGGGGTGGCTTCTGTGAGAAGCACATCTGACAGAACCAATGCCAGCCAGCTCCAAGATGGACCCACTGCTGGCCAGGCTGGCACCTCTGGAATAACCTATTTAAGAAGGGGAATAAAACAATTGCACAACAGCTGCTCAAGAGAGGACTGAGAACATGTGAGAGAAACAACTATGCAGACACCAAAGTCAATGAAGGAGGAGGACGAGGTGCTCCAGAGCAGAGATTCCCTGGCAGCCCATGGTGAAGATCATGGTGAGGTAAGCTGTGCCCCTGCAGCCCATGGAGGTCCACAGTGGAGCAGAGATTAACCTGCAGCTTCTGGAGGACCCCATGCTGGGGCAGGTATATGCCTGAAGGAAGGCTCTGACCCTGTGGGAAGCCCATGCTGGATCAGGCTCCTGTCCAGACCCACAGACCTGTGGAGAGAGGAGCCCATGCTGGAGCAGTCTGTTCCTGAAGGACTGCACCCTGCGGGAGGGACTGAGACTGGAGCAGATTGTGAAGAACTGCAGCCCTTGGGCAGTATTCACCTTGGAGAAGTTAATGGAGGGCTGTTTCCTGTTGGGGGGACCCCATGCTGGAGCAGGGGAAGAGTGTGAGGAGTCCTCCCCCTAAGGAGGAAGAAGCAGCAGAGGCAACATGATGAACTAACCATGGCCCTCATTCCTGCATCCCTGCACCATTGCAGGGAGAAATTTGAGAATCAGGAGTGAAGTTGAGCCTGGGAAGAAGGGAGGTGTAGGGGGAAAGTGTTTAAGATTTGGTTTTCTTTATCATTATCCTACTCTGATTTGATTTGTAATAAATTCAATTAATTTCTGCTCAAATTGTGTCTGTTTTGCTCATAATGGCAATTGGTGAGTGATCTCTCCCTGTTTTTATCCTGACACATAAGCATTTCATTTTATTTACTCTTACCTGTCCAGCTAAGTGATAGACTTTGATGCTCATCTGGCTTCTAGCCAGGGTCAACCCACCAGATCTCTTTAGGGAAGGGCCATTTGTAAGCATCTTATTCCTTACTTACAGTTTTAGTGCTTTCCTGGCAAAGAGAGCAGCCCTTGTGAGTGATGCTGAAATCCTATTGAAATCAAGGTAATATGTGTGCTTGGCAGCTGGGCTCTGAATCTTACCCACCCAGGAACAGAGGATTATTCTAGCACTTTGCTAAAGGACTGATGTATAGAAAAAGGTCCACCTCTCACTTTTTAGTTTCACCTTCAATAAAAAAGGTTTAGAACATAAATTAGCTGACGTTTAAAAGTAAAACTAAAAAAAGTCTGTCTCTTAAATCTAGGTGTCTCCACATCAGCATGTGGCCTAGGGGCTGAGATAGCCGTTTCAACACAAGGTTCTCATGCCACTTGAGGTGCCATGGAGAATCCAGCATGCCCAGTAGCATGGGAAGGTTT